CCGACCACACACGAGACCGTCTCGCAACCGTCGCACCGCAGAGGTAGATCATCGAGGTTCGGGGACGGACTTTGTATGGAAAAACATAGGGTTTCGTGCATCTGCTATCTCTCAAAAACGCATTTCGTGCGAGACTTCCTCCAAAACTCCATCGGCAACTCCACCAGCACCACTTGCAATCCCATTTGCATTGCGGGAACGATCCTACACTTCCAAATCACAATGGAATTCCATCGGCAACTCATCCACCAGCACCACTTGCAATCCCATTTACATTGCGGGAACGATCCTACAGTTGCAAATCACAATGGAATTCTGTCGACCGCGCATGCACGAAACACAGCTGAAACCCCATTTACAATGCGGAACCGATCCGACCATGATCCGAGACCGTTCCGACCACACACGAGACCGTCGTCTCGCACCCGTCGCACCGCAGAGGTAGATCATCGAGGTTCGGGGACGAACTTTGTATGGAAAAACATAGGCTTTCGTGCATCTGCTATCTCTCAAAAACGCATTTCGTGCGAGACTTCCTTCAAAACTCCATCGGCAACTCATCCACCAGCACCACTTGCAATCCCATTTACACTGCGGGAACAATTTCTTTGACTAACTCGTTCCCTAACGAACTCTTTCTTTGCTCTTTCGTTGACTAACTCTTTCTTTGCTAACTCTTTCTTTGACTACCTCATATATCCTGACTAACTCTTTCTTTGGCTAACTCTTTCTTTGACTACCTCATATATCCTGACTAACTCTTTCTTTGACTAACTCTTTCCCTGACTAACTGTTTCTTTGACTAACTCTTTCTTTAACTAACTCTTTCCCTGACGAACTCTTTCTTTGCTAACTCTTTCTGTGACTAACTCTTTCCCTCACTAACCCTTTCCTTTCTTTGACTAACTCTTCTTTGACTAACTCTTTCTTTGACTAACTCTTTCCCTGACGAACTCTTTCTTTGCTACCTCTTTCTTTGACTAACTCTTTCCCTGACGAACTCTTTCTTTGCTACCTCTTTCTTTAACTAACTCTTTCCCTGACGAACTCTTTCTTTGCTAACTCTTTCTGTGACTAACTCTTTCCCTCACTAACTCTTTCCCGCACTAACTCTTTCTTTGACTAACTCTTCTTTGACAACTCTTTCTTTGACTAACTCTTTCCCTGACGAACTCTTTCTTTGCTACCTCTTTCTTTGACTAACTCTTTCCCTGACATTCTAAAAGTCCGTAACACGGAAGTTTCTCCCCCTAAACTTCCTTTGATCATATCCCCATAGTTTTCATGGCTTTAAAAGATTTTAAAAGCCCATAAAACCATCTAAAACCCTTCATCAACAGAGGCACAGCAGAAGCGTTTCTGCCCACTCCGATTGGACCTGCGCAACAGCGCCCCGCTGTGTAATGTCGTTCCGTAGCAATCAGTTCACTTACTAGCCAACATCATATACCCTCTGGCAAACAAACAGTTTGCTATTGAAAATGGCCATAGAAATAGTGGATTTTCCCATTAAAAATGGTGATTTTCCATAGTTATATTGGTTTACCAGAGGGTAAGTAATATTGCTCAGTTCCTTACTAACCAGCAATTGATCATTTCTAATCAGTTAATATTGAACTTGCTAATCAGGATTATATGATTATTAACCACAACTACTAAGTGGAATAATCCTTACGTTGGAGAGTGCTCGAGCACTATTCCGTTACACATTGGTTTCTTCAGTCACGAGGGATCCTCAGTCGTCACCATAGGTAAAACGACTCATCGACTCATCTAATGACTTGGATGATTTGGGGTACCCCCATGGATTGGACACCTCCATATACGATCATATGAGCAATGATATCAGGAATATCAACTAGTTGAATTTTCCGATGCTAGTTGATAGCTCCAAAGTTCAACTAGTTGATCTTCCTGAGATATGATATCAGTAGTTGTTATCAACTACAATATCAACTGAACTTAAAACAGCATTTTTAGGTGATGACTGGGGGATGGTTTATGGCATTGCTTGAGCCACATTACACTAGATGCTACCTCCAAAATTTCATCAACGATGTCCTTTAGAGACCATCCATGATTGATCAAATCTTGTGTGCTGAAAAAAATGATGTGCCCAGTAATAAAAAAACATGAGCAATAGACTAGAAATTCAACTATAATAGTATAATAGTTATATATATATATGCCAGCAATATATATATATATCTGCATAAAACATATAACATCTACTAAAAACTTAGAAATTCAACTTAGCTAACGAACTGGAAAACCACATTGGGGGCAACTGATCGACCATTGGAATCAGCGCTGCTCAAGGTTCTCATGCGACGTGATGCTGAAATCAAATGCTTCGGAAAAATGCTGCACTGTATTCTATAAGTTCTGCATGATATTATACATTGAAAAATGTACAAATCCTAAGGTGACCAGTACAAAATGATCTCATAGAAACAGATCTAGACATATTCCACAATATATCATAATATACCAGAATTATGAGAACATACTATATCATAATGTACCAGAATCATAATATTATGAAAGTTGATATATCACCATCATTCATATTATATTTTATGGGGAAAAATACTGAAAGTTGCAAAATCTCCCCGCTATCACCATCAATATAGTATGATCCCAACATTGCAGACGTATTCGCAGACGTATCGCCCCGCTATGTGTGTCTATGAAACACGTTTCCTTGCACTATCATCTGGGTAAATCACAACCTGGTTGGTGGTGCAATAACCATCTTAAAACATATGAGTTCGTCAATGGGAAGGATGACATCCCATATATGAAATGGAAAAATAAAACATGTTTGAAACCACCAAGCAGTGTATATATATATACACACCATAACCAGTATCATAGTATATCATCACTTCTTAATATGATTTAAAAACTATTAGTATATATGATGATATAATTCAAATTCTATACCATAGTTGCAGTTTCAATAGTTACCCTTGCAGTTACCATCATCTCTAGTGACTTCGTTCGTGGTGACTTCGCTATTCTATTTTCCCCGGGAGCCATTCGGAATCACAATCTTTGGGCCAATTCCTACAGTATTCACATCCAGGAGTACTGTATCTACCATCTGGTTATTTAACAGTTCCATGGAAAATCACCATTTTTAAGAACGGTAAACCATCTATTTCGATTTGGGCCATCTATACCATGGCGAACTGTTCGAAGGAAGTTTAGAAGTCAAACTTCCGACAATATGGACAGATGAAAAGCAGAGCAGGGAAGAGGCAGAGAGAAGAGGAAGATTAGAAGAAAGAAGATCAGAAGAGAAAGAGTCAGAAGAAAGAAGATGCAGATGCGCGAAAAGGTAGGAAAGTCGCGAAACAATGATTTGAGGCTCCGGAGGGTCGAAAAGTAGGCTCGCTAAAGCGGCGGGTGCGGAGGCAGCTGGCTGGATGAGAGATGAAAAATTGCACGCCGTTGTGGCGCGAAGCACATTTCCAAGTCAAAATGTACAAAACACACCATTCTCGGACCACTTTTGGAAGTTGAGATGTCGAAAAAGTGCACGCCGTTGTGGCGTGAAGCACATTTCCAAGTCAAAATGTACAAAACACACCATTCTCGGACCACTTTTGGAAGTTGCGATGTCGAAAAAGTGCACGCCGTTGTGGCGCGAAGCACATTTCGAAGTCAAAAGTGTAAAAAACTGAGGGTTTTGAGCCTTTTTTGACGTGAAGATGCCGAAAAAGTAGACACTGATTTACTTAACTAACTTGACTAACTTAACTAACTTCACTAACTTAACTACCCTAACTCCGACGACAACTACAACAACTACAACAACAACAACAACAACTACTACTACAACTACAACAACAACAACAACAACTACTACTACAACTACACTACACAACTACAACAACTACACAACAACTACAACAACTACAACAACAACTACAACTACAACAACTACAACAACAACAGCTACAACTATATGACTGCAACTACACTACACTAATTACATTAGACCACAACTACAACTCCACTACGGTACAGCTACAACTACAGTTGCAGTACATCACACTACATCCAGCAGTTGTGGGTGAGGTGACCACTGCAACCATTGCAACCACTCCAACAAACACAACTCCAACCACCTTTCGGTCAATCAGTGGATTCGCTCTGCCATCCGTGATTCACAACAACCAACGTCTCCTATAGGTTTCCTATTTTTGAAACTTCCGCCACCGCCTTGTGCGGTACTACTGGTAAATTACCAGAGGGTAATCTCCAATATTCCAGAATATCTATGGGGTCCACCAAGATGGATGAAGTTTACTTCCCAAAAACAGCCAACACAGCCACTAAATCCCAGCACTTTTGAAGGTATCCACCATGCTTGAACTTTGCTTTAAGGAACCTCCAAAAATCATACCCTCTGGTTATGACTAACAGTTCGCCATGGGAAATGGCACATAGAAATAGATGGCTTACCTATTCGAAATGGTGATTTTCTATGGCGAACTGTTAAATAACCAGATGGAAACCACATTCCATCATATTCCCCCAAAGATTCCCCCAACGATTCCGCCAGATCATCGACAAACCGCCAAATTCCGGAAATATCGCTAAACCATCACCATTTACTTGGAGGATTTTCCCAACAACCGTGGCTAGTGGATTTCCGGTGTTTTTTTCACGTTCCCTTCATGAAACTCCGACTCGGGAAACCAAGGGCGCCTGGGGCGGCGCGTTTTTTCGGGTGAGGACATCACGCTCTCGGTGGTCAGCCTGGCGGTTTTTGGAAAGGAAGTTACTCCAGGAACTTCAGGGG